TTTGGAATTAGATATGATATTATTTAAAAAAAATGGGAAAAAAAATTTAGATATAGATTATATAAGGAGGGAAAGATAGAAAAATATTTTGTTGGCCAAAAAGGTCTCTCATGAAGTTAAAAATTTATAGGAAAAATTTTACCATCTCAGTTCGTCTTTCCATTACTTGGCTTATAATGAATTCGAAAGAGGATCTTTTGATATCAGGCAGCATAGACTAAACAATTACATTTTCAGAAAAATATAATTAGAATTAGCATTTGGGAATGTTCCTAAGTAATAACAGAGCATAGAGATAGAATATTTTGTTTAAGCCTGAGTTTAAATGAGAATAAATTAATCTCATGTGGATATGATAATTTAATCTTAGTTTTACAAAAAGATTAAAAAGTTTTCGATAGAAACTGCTGGATTGTTAATTAAAAGATTATTATGGACGTTCATGGCTATAGATTAAGTTTCATAACAGATAATTTATTTTTATTTTAACCTTATAATAAGGAAGAAATATGGATTTACAAATTTTCAAATGATCTATTTACAAAAGCAAATACTTTTCATGCAAAAAGTGACTGTGAAGATTTTGGAACCTCATTTCCTCAACAATTCATTAAATCAAAAAACATCATTTTAGCTAAAAATGGTAACTACATTCATTTGATTAAATTTGACATTTAAGATAATTTCGAGGTCCATTAATCAATAAATTTTGAAGATTAATGTATTTATGGGTAATTAAGCAATAATGGGCAGTGTTTGATAACTTGGGACAGAAAATCCAATTTTATTTAAGTCAGGTTATACGAGAAATAATGAATAATTATTTTATAATGTTGTTAATTTTTAAATTAAAATTAAAATTAGAAATAATAAAATTTATAGCATTATTCTGGAAAGAATTTATACTGAAAGCATAATTATAAAAATAATTTTTTGAATCTAATCAATATACCTAATTTAGTTATTCGATTTAAATCGAGAAACTTATATTTCATGTTTTTAGTTCATTTCAAGAATTAATAAAAAGTATGTATATTTTAATCCATCGTAGCAAAGCAAAGTTTATTTGATTTTTATCTAATTTTACCGATTTAAAAAGTTTATCATTCATAACAGCTATCATAATTTTAAAATTTTTTAGAGGTTGGAAAAATAAAGATCAACTATATTCTTTTAAATTTCAAAATTTGTAAGGTACTATGGACCTTTTTCATATCTATGATCACTTAGCATAATTCACAATTCAACAATCTCATTGGTG